TAGGGTTTAGGGCTCATAGGGTTTATGGGGCTTATGGGGTTTAGGGCTTAGAGTTCCCGAAAAGTTTCCTTGTAGAAGAAGCCGGGTTGGGGTCAAGGGTTTATGTGTTTAGGGTTTACCTGGATCCAAAAACCTACCGTTTTGAGGGCTCTACCCTCTAATGAAGGTGTCATAACCTACTATTGTGTAGGGTTTAGGGTTTCTCTAAAAGTTTCCTTTTACAAGAAGCCGCTTTGGGGTCAAGGGTTTACTTGGAGGGCCAGGGGACTTCGTAAGTAGGTTATAACTAGAATTATAAGTACCCGAAATGGAGTTACCTTAACTATAACCCTAATTATTTAACAGACTTACCAAGTCCCCTGAAACTCCAAGTGGGTAGTTCTCTAAATTAGGGTCCCTTTTGGGTCCCCAATATAGTACGGCACTCTTATAAAAAGGACCCCCCAAAAGGACCCTAATTCAGAAAACTACCCAACTAGGGTTGAGGGTTTATAGGCTTTCCTAGACAGGTGCAGGGTCTCTGGGCTTCTCGACTTTCTTTACATGGCTCTACAAGGGGCTCCAGAAGAGTTTGAGGAAAAGGGCTGGAGTTTAGGGTTTAGGGGTTTAGTTTAGGGTGCTTGGATGGTTTAGGGTTTAAGGGTTTACGCTTTTTTTCATGGCCTCCCCTGAACCTTAAAACGCCAACTTAGTTTGTTATGCACGTAGATTAAGGAACCCGTAGCATTGACAATTTTAAGGACACCTATATTACCAGGTACAGGGTTTAGGGCTCTAAGGTTCAGGTGTGACGTTCGGAGGATTTTTGAACTCTTCAGGGTCCATGTGTCCACTTGCGAAGGAACCTGTTCCAGGCCCACGCATATACTCAGCTTAACCGCTTAACCTTCGATACCCGACTGTTTTGTAGACATCCCCCTCCCCCAAAAAAGCAGTCAAGATTAGGGCAAAGATTAGCACCTTGCAAAAAGCAGGTTCTGTGAGGTTACAGTGTGTATGTGTGAAGGAACTATGTGTATATGATATATATATATATATATACATATATATTTATTTATTTATTTATTTTTTATTTATATTTACATTTATTTAGTTATTGAATTTGAATTTGTTTCTTCATTAAATAAAAAATCTATCTATCTATCTATCTATCCATCTATCTATCTATCTATATAAATATATGAGTAAAGAGCTGCATGAACCCTGCGGACGGCTTCAAGGCCTGAGGGTCGCCTTCCATATCTGTCTTTACATACGTCTTCGGTTTGAGGCTTGGGCTTGGGGTTTAGGGTATAGGATTTAGGGGGGTGATCCATGTAATTTGAGCAGTAATGCAGGGGCCTTGGTAATTAGAATAGGGTTTAGGGGTTTAGGGAAAGGGGCCTAAATGATTCTAATAGGGTTTTCGGGTATTATGCCACCCTAATACAGAACCTCCAAACAACCCTGCTTTGATAACCCCTTAAGAGAAGTCTGGAGAAGCCCGAGAAGCCCTAAACCCT